CCGCTCGCGAAGCTGGAGACGAACAGCGCGGATCCAGGGGATCAGAACATCAGGGACCTGACCCTTGCTTCTTAAGGGGAAGACCGTGGTGTAACGCGTGTAGTCGTCGACGACCAGCAAGAAGTACCGCTCGGGGCACCACACGTCCAGGTGGAGAGTCTGCAGCGGAGCCTCTGTGGGAGGGAACGAGGAGGAGTGAGGAGCGGCGCGCTGCCGCCCCTCGACGCAAGGAATGCAGGGCGGGGCAGGCGAGGGAGGGAGGGCGGGCAGAGACCTGGGAAGGCCAGAGACCAGTAGGCGAGAGTGCATGCCACGAAGGCGGGGTAGACCAAGGCGGCGGTGCCACATGCGGCGACACTCACACTGGGTAGCTACCTGAGCGGACGCGTACAGCTGAGGAGACACAGGGGTGTAGCGCGACAGAGTAGCGAGGGTGTACAGACTGGACCCTGGCGCACGTGTGAACGTGGCCAGGTGGCGGCCAGTCCTAGAGCATGTACAGATCGCCACACGCTGTCCTCCAGGAGTAAAGGTGTCAACCCAATGATCCTGAAGGACGGCGTTGCTCACCAGGTTCGTAGAGAACGAGGGGATGTGGAGACCTGACAGCTCACCGGACGGGACCGCCGGACACGGGAGCACAGTACTGGACCGTGCAAGCACTGGGCCCCCAGAGGGGTCAGCCAGTGAGACAGGGACAGGTGCAGGGAGGGGAGTGACTGTGGTACTGTCACGAAAGAAACAGCGGGAAGCACCTGAGTCAAGCGTGAAGGTGTGCAAGGCCTCAGCAGGCGCAGTACCAGAGAGAGCAGACTCACTAGCACCTAGGGCTGCAGTCTCTATACCTGGGTCAGGCGGCACACACAGGTAACAGTCACCCTTAGCACTAACAGTCAATGCATACATGGCAGCAAGGATAGCATCATAGTCAAGATCAAAGATAGGAACATCACGCCTAAGCAGGTCTGCCCAGTTGGGGGAAACAGTGGCATCAGGAAACTTGGCGCGCCAGGCGTCGCTAAGCCTAGCGAAGCAGCGGTACTCAGTGTGCAGGCCGTTGCATGGGCGACCAGCGCGGGGACCGGCGCGAATGACATAGGGGCAGCGACCAGGACCCCCAGACGCCCCACGCTGAGCGTACCACTCATGTAGCTGCTGAGACGTGGGTGTGTGGCGCTGACGCTGCTGCTACTGCTGCTGCTGCTGCTGCTACTGCTGCTGCTGCTGCTGCTGTGGCTGCTGCTGCTGCTGCTGCCCCTGGTCACCACTGGAGCCCCCTTTGGGGCCGGCCGCACTCCAACCCCCACCTCCACCACCACCACCGCTGCCTCCCCCCCACCACCGCCGCTGCCTCCTCCACCGCTCCCATTCCCACCGCCACCCCACCCACCGCCTCCACCCCCACGGCCACCCCCACCACCTCCACCACCCCCGCCGCCTCCACCACCGCCCCCTCCACCGCCACCTCCACCTTTCCACCCTTGCCGCCCTTGGTGTCGCTGCGCTTCCCACTAGGAGTGGAAGCTGCTGCGACCTTCTCAGCACCGAGGAGGTCGACGGCAGCAGCAGCAGAGGCGTAGGAGGGGGCAAGGGGGGAGGGGGAGCACCCCTCAAAGAGGGGAGTGCGAGGAGTGCCACGAGCAGCACCTACAGCTAGGATGCTCTTTTCTGCTGCTAGGAGCTGCTGCTCGAAGTCGGCTAGAGTGAGAGTGGTAGGGTCTTTGGCGAGGAAGTGGTCCCTGACTGAACTGAGAGTGTCAGGGAGGCGGGTGACGAGGATGAAGAGGGTAAAGTATAAGGGGGGGGGGGGGGGCGGGTTCTGGGCGAGGAAGACGGCTGTGAGGGCAGCACGAAAGCGAGCGTCACTAGCGCGGAGGTGAGAGATAAGGTCCTCAGCGGTGGCAAACGAGGACAGGTCTGGGAACAGGTAGGGCAGGATGAGACGACCTACGGCTGCAGTGGCTGGGGACGAATAGCGCGCAACTACAGCATCATACATCGCCTTAGTAGTCTTGTGCTGGCTAAAATACGCGTGCTCAGTGATCGGCAAATGGTTGCGAATAGCGAGGCGTGCAGCAGCATCGCGAGTCTGCCACTGTGAGCGGTCAAGAGCGGGAGCAGTGTCAGCAGGAGCAACGGCAGTGCCAGACGCGTGATCGAACAGTGAAACGCCGTCTTTTGCATCAGTCATAAGAAACAGTTGCAGGTCGTCGAGCCAAGTGGCAAACTCAATCGGGCGACCGTCAGGCTCAAACGCGAGAACATTAAGCGTCGCCATAATCGCAGCGCAGGCAAAGGCAGCAGGCACAGGCAGCAGGCACAGGCAGCAGGCAAAGGCAGCAGGCACAGGCAGCAGGCAAAGGCAGCAGGCACAGGCAGCAGGCAAAGGCAGCAGGCAGCCGTGGCAGTAGGGCGAGCGTCGCGCGGGGCTGCGGGGCAGCGCGGGAGGCGGCGCGAGGGGCCGCGGGGCAGCGCGAGGGGCCGCGGGGCAGCGCGAGGGGCCGCGGGGCAGCGCGACGGGCAGCGGCAGGGCGCGCGCGGGGCTGCAGTGCAGCGCGACGGGCGGCGCGGGGGGCTGCGGGGCAGCGTGACGGGCTGGCAAGGCGCGCGCGGGGCTGCGGGGCAGAGCGGGCGGCGCGCGGGGCTGCAGGGCAGCACGACGGGCAGCGGCAGGGCGCGCGCGGGGCTGCAGGGCAGCGCGACGGGTAGCGCGCGGGGCTGCGGGGCGACGCGTCAGGCAGAAAAGGCAGGGTAGGGCAGGGCGCGGGGTAGCACGGCAACTGCGCACGGTTGGTGGTGTGCCCTAAAAATATCGATCCTAAGGTCCTAGGGACCTTTTGCTCTAAATACCATGTTGAAAGAACTAGCAGTGAATGAATGAACTAGGTCAAAGTTGGGTACAAATATGAAACCCTAAAGGGGCTATACCCCATATTGGCTACCCCACTACAGCCTACACATATATATTACATATATAATTTGACACAGTGCCCATTCTGCCACAGAGACAGGAAGGGGTGGTCAGGGGCCACCTGGCGTGCCCATCTTGACGGGAAACGCCGTCAAGATGTTGTGCGGTGCGGGGCAAACGCCGTTCAGTCCGCCCTCGTGCTCTGATTCTCGCCGCATGTCATTCCCGATGACGCGCACGTTGTGCACCAAGCGAAAGATTCCAGCGTAAAAAAATATAAGACCCCCCCCCCTGTAACGAGCTGGTACATGGTAAATCCAATAAATTTAATAGATAAATAAGTGTACCCTGGGTCTTAAAAATTTGCATCCGCCATAATGTCCACCCTAGCATTTCTTAGAGCATTTGTAGAGAGTCCCCCGGGTCCTATAGGTGGCACTTTACGGTAGGGTATATGCCAGCCTGTATACATGCATGCGTAATGAATGTTTCCGTCTCGTAGCATCCTTGCTGGAGATAACCAACACCGATGGCAGCAGTTATATGTCAGATGCTGCCAACACTTTGTCGTTGCGTGGGTGTCGGCGCTGATGCCAGCCACACCAAAGCACCGACACTGTCATTTTGTGCATCGGAGAGGGAGAGCAAGCGCTCGAAAAAAAGATCCGCAGCAGCAGCAGCTGCTGCTGTGGCAGCGGCAGAGGCAGCAGCACGAGAAGCAGCAGCAGTAGCAGAAGCAGCCAGATTGGATGCAGAGTTCCCCTGGCTCAGTCGCAAGGGGAATGAGAAGTACCCTATTCTAGTGCCGTCTGATAGCCTAGACAGCTGTAGTGATGATGATAGTGGCAACAAGTCTGACTGAACCGTAGAAGGGAGAAATGAGAACTAGTTTTCATATTTTAGTTTGTCGAGATTATGTAGTGTAGTGTAGACTACGAAAAATAGTTCATCTATTATTTCAGACTGGTGTTAAAGCCAACAGCTAAAATAGTGAACCCCGACCCAGCTTGAAAGAGTGTTGCGAGGAGTTTCTCAAAGAGAGATGTCAGGGCGAAAAAGCACTGTTTCTATCATCCAAACTTTACAGATCGACTGATGTGATTGGCTATCGCAAAAAATGATAAAATTTTTCGCTCCTGCCAAAAGAATGTCAGCAGTCGCACGTCTACATGCTGCACTCGCACGAACATTGTAAAGCGATGGGTTGAGTCGCCTGGCCAACTTCAGTTTCAAGCTGGATCGGGGTTCATATCTCTCTTCCACACTTCCTTAGTCACTAGTTTATGTCTAGCTAAGAATAGCTGAAATCTTAGTCTCCCTTCTCATAGGCACGCAATTAGCAATGTAGCTCGAGTGCGAAATGTAGTAAGACGTGGCCTCTCAGCGTAATGCTATTTTTTTCATCTCGCACTAAATCGTCAAACTCCCGTCCATGGCGTATTTGAACCGTGCCTTTACTACCATCGCCGCTCACTCGTCGTTATCGCGCTCGCCTTTCACTACAACCCTCCCGATCGCCCTCTCGATTTCCCCTCCCCTTCTCACGTTCTTTGGCCCTCTATCTCGATTTCTCTGCTCTCCTCCCTTGGCTCTAACTTTCTCTTCTCTCTTCCCGTCGCTCTCACTGTCGCCGCTCTCCTCCCGTCACTCTCAATTTCTCCGCTCTCCTCCCGTCGCTCTCACTTCCTCTGCTCTCCTCCCGTCCCTCTCATTCCCGTCCCGTCCAGTCGCCCTTGTCCTTTCCCTTCCTATCCCGTCATTTTCACAATTTCCCTTCTCATCCCATCGCTTTTGTCCTTTCCCTTCCCGTCCCGTCGCTTTTGTCCTTTCCCTTCCCGTCCCGCCACTTTTGTCCTTTCCCTTCCCGTCTCGTCCTACCGTCTTTCTGGTGTTCTTCGCTCTCGTCCCATCGCCCTCGATTTCTCCGCCCCCCTCCTAGTACCCTCGCTATCGTCTCTCCCTTCCCATTGCCTTCGCTCCCCCCGTATTTCCCCTTCCCTTACCCGTCGCTCCCTCCCCGTCGCTCTCTGTAACTCTCCCCTCCCTTCCCGTCGCTCTTTCTCTCGTCGCTCCCTTCTGGTCGCCCTCGATGCATGCGTCCTCTCACACCCCCCATCCCCCACCCCATCGCCTTCCCGCTCGCCGCGAAACGCCCTCCCATCCCCCACCCACTTTCTCCTCCCATCGCCTGCCTCGTCGCCTTCGCACTCGCCCTCAAACGCGCTATCCGCGCCCTCCCTCTCTCCCTTCTTCTCGCCCTTCTCTCCCCCCCTCCCCTGTCGAGCTCGCTTTCTCTTCCGTCCCCCGTGGAGCTCGCTTTCTCCCCCCCTCTCCCGTCGAGCTCGCTTTCTCCCCCCCCTCTCCCGACATCACCATACTTGTCCCTATCGGCCTCTCTCCCACCCGTAGCGTCACAATTCCCGTCGCCCCCTCCCTCTCACTCCTCTCACCTCCCCTCCGAAACACCCTCGCGTCACCCACCCCGTGTCTTTCCTCGCTTCCCATCGCCTCCGCGCTCTCCCGTCCCGTGTAGGTAAGCGGCCGATTTTGCGATTTGGTCCTTCCAGCAGTTAGGAGCCACCTGAGTTGCTAATTGTCGCCTTCTCCTAATACATTTACAGAGGGCGGCGTGCACACTTGTCGCGGCGCGAGGGTTCCTTTTGGCGCCATCATCAATTTCGGATCGCGGTCTAGTTTTGGCGCCATCACGGACTGACAGCTGACCGCAGTTTGCGCGCGACATGAACGTTCATGATGTCTTTTGCCAGGCCAGGTGATTCCCACACAGGCCCCACCTGCCAGGTCGTGAAGCGCAAGGCAGTTTCATGCATATCACGAACGTCGCAACTCTTGACCCCATCTTGGTTTGCACGTCCTGACTTGGTACTCACGTCCCCCACCTATCATGCGTCGCCAGGACTTTCCATGCCCGTCCCTCACGACCAACATTGTGTCTTCATGCTTGCGACTAAATACATTCCCGACTCTCCAAACCTTCGCACTGTGAGTAAGATGCGTGCAGCGGCTTCTAGTAGTGCTCCCCACTGCACGTTTTTCTGTTGAATATCACCCCCACTCTGCCCCTTCAAGGGACGCGAGCATGGATACGCGTAGCAAAGCTCACGGTAAACGCGTAGAGGAGTCGCCGCAGGAAGAGTCTTCCAGCGAGTCCAGCGACTTAGAGCCCAAGGTCGTGCAAGAGGTCACGCCCCGAAGTCGTAAAAAATCAAGATTCTCTAAGCCGGCTCATGGCGCAGCTTCCACTCCTTCCCCTTTTTCTGTTACGGCGGCGCGTGTCGAGTGCAAGGAGAAGCTGCCGCCGGTGGAAGACATAATAAGCGAATTTACCAAGGGCAACACGCCGCCTTCGGTGGGTAGCAAATGTCGTATGCCTACGTTCAAACCCTGCAAGCAATTTCCCACCAAGACGCTCTACAACAGCCTTGGTCAAGGCGCTACGGTCGAACTGGTGGACGCGGCCCGCCTGCAAGACGGCTGCGAGTTCAGCAGCCCGCTTAACTTCAATTGATACTGCAATTGATTTTCAACTTCGCCACTTCATAGCCGCTTCTGTCGTCGTTTCCGAACTGTTGTGGCCGATTGTTTTAATACTGATCTCAAATACGGTACTTTTGCAGTCTAACACACATCCGTAAGCCAACCCTCGCTGGAGGCCGCACCTGGATTGCGCTAGATACATGCGCCTATCCCACAAGCGTTGGGCGTCGAGGCCTTGTGTCATGCTCTGACAACTCGAAGCTCCTGGATTTCAACTACATTCTCATCGTCGTTGTCACCGAGTGAGTTGGTTATGGTTTACAGTGTCTCTTTGCCACAGCTGCATAGCAGAATTCCGTCAAAATTATTTACTATCGCGCATAATATCCGCCCAATCCGTACGGTGTGGTGCAGGTCACCGCGTCATTTCAGTCTTGTGGTCGTGCAGGACCCTTCTCTGCTGAAAGCGCCCGAGCAGCCAGAGGGGCCCTCACAGAGGCCCGTTGCCGTCATGTTCGATCCTTTCGGCGAAAATCGTAGCATTGCCGACGCTGTTTTCGCTGAGATTCAGATGTACATATCTTTTGCCCTAAGCTGGCAATACATCCACCTGCATACACACCCTGACATTGTTGCTTTTGTTCTGCATTTCAGCATTCTCGGTCTCGCACTACAAGCCGCACAACCTTCTCTGTCAACGGAGGAGGTGGAAGAAAGTCTCCCACGTCTGCGCACTGTGTTAGCTCCGGTGCGTGTACTTGTGAAAACGTCTTGTGGGCTTTTGCTCTCAGTATACTCACCCACGCCTGTGTGACTGGTTTTATGCAGACCTACGGCTGCCCCCGCCAGGACAATGATTATGACTGCGGGTGTTTGTCTGCATCTACGTCAAGGAACTGGTCGCCCACGACTTCAGCAATCTCGAAGAGGGCCTACAGGCGCCTCTCACCTACGGTGCCGGGCAGTTGCGGCGGAACCTGCGCGCCGACGTAGTCCTCATGGCTACGAATCTTCTCATTCAGGCCCTGATCACGGAGCGGTGTGTCGTCCCGGATCAGAATCCGCCACTCAGGAACAGGGTAAACTCAACACTACCGCCGGAGTTTGTCGAGCTGGACAACAAGCTTCGGGATGCTGTGGGTGAAATCCACAACACTCAATGCCGACTGAAGTGCGCCGAAGAGGAGACGGAGCGCGTGGAGGGGAAGGTGGATGCCCAGGCCCGAGAACTGATGGTGGTGTGGGCAGAGATTGAACGACTACGCGCCCTTGTTGGTCCGGCAGAGAGAACCCCAGCCTTGCACTCCCCTACACGTGGAGCCTGTTTCGTAGCCGCTATTCAGCGGGCTACCCCCGACGAGGGCGGAGATGCAGTGTCACTGCGTGCTGCAGATGCCGTTGTGAGAAACCTGATACTGAACACCCAACCGCTCGAGCAATCACTGAACGGTGTGGCACAAGCCGGGCAGGGACCGCGGCCCAACCTGTTTGTCCCCGCGGGCGCCGTCTCCGAGGTTAATTCCGCCGCGATTGCAGTGCATGGAAGGCCGCGTGAGACACAGGGCGAAAGTCAGGGGCCTGAAGGGTCGCGTGTTGGGTTTGCCGGCGTTCACTTGGGGCGCGATGGGCTATGGGTGGCTCGTCTGGTTACAGATCCCAAGGCTCCAACCACCATTGGGCTCGGGTCTTGGGATGACCAGATCGCAGCCGCAAAGGCTTTTGCGGCAGCAGCATATGTGGTGCGTCGTGACAAACCAGTGCGCGGAAGGGTGCTCCCACTTTTGCCAGAAGAGCAGGAGCTTCTGAGAGGTTGCACTACACAGCACGTCATTGCCCTCTCCAGGGTCCGGGCATGGGGCAGCTGGACGCGATGGCGCCAGGAGACAGAGGCGAGGGGAATCGTTATTGCCCCCCCGGCAGCAGCTGACAGTGCACCTGCAACGGCTCCAACAGCCGCGGATGTCATCGCCGCTGCAGGTGTCGACTTGCATGCGCAGGAAACCCATGACTCCGCTCCTGGTGGCAATGCAGCCGGCGCCACAGCAACCGTCGGTAAGGTAGATTTGCTTTATTCTACCGTGCACTAATTGCATTGTCCTAGAAACTTACTGAATTCCCACAAATTCCATGCAGGACTCCCGGCGACAAATAACGGTGAAGCCCCTCGTGAGAATGTGTGACTTTGCACTGGTGTACTACCGATGTGTAGAGGTGTTTGCGTTCGCGTGTGTTTTGATTGCTCTTTTGTTATGTGCACGTGTCATCAATCTTACAGGCGCTTGTGGTGCAGAGCGATACGGCATCTTGAAAGTAGAAGGAACATGCCCGTGCAACTATACTTATCAACAAAAACAAGCGACCGCACCATTGTACGCCCCTATGACACTTAAGAATTATACCAATGGTCGCAGAGTCACAACAGGTATGTGGCTTTATAGGTCTCCCTACAAAGACTTTGATCAAATTTTATTAATGCTGGTATGTGAATCGATCCAAGAAAATTACAATTATCATAAGTCACAACATATCGTGACACGTTGACACAACATACCCTACTTTACCCATCTCCCCAGCCAGTACTATGCAACAAATCCATGGTTAGCGACAAACACAGATAGAAAAAGCACTGAATCACAATACATCGTTTGTTCACATGTGTGCAATCGTAGCAATCATTGGCGACCAGACCATTGATGTTGGTGTATATCACTTCCCAGCATGTGTAAGATGTAGAGCACCTACTAGCTCGTGGAAGTTGTACCACTAATCCCAGATACAAGCTTTTTAAAACTTACAAAGGCGGATTGTACTTAGCCCACCAATTTAAACTGTGTGGATGTCTTATGTATACACGGCTCTGATTTTCGACGGCTTGAGTTTTTGGGCTACCTACTTTACCATAGAGTACACACTCGAGTTCCACGTGTATTTGATCAACAACGCATAACGTATCACTATTCCAATGCAATACGCTGTTTGACTGACAAATTATACCTTTGTGTTTGAGTAACAAATTATACCTTTGTGTTTGATATTCATTCTAAAGAAATAAGTAGTGCATCGACGATGATACATCACACGGAACGTCGCCGTTTCGAATCGCAGCATAAGACACAATATTCAATCCGTTTGTTCCATTAAATGTGAAACACCTCAAACTAACATTCATATCAAACTGTCACACACCACTGTAACCAATAATAGAAGTGGCTGAAGTTCACGAAATCCGCGAGAACTTACATCAACACGATGGAGTTTCTCGTGACTACGCGTCTTCGTGACCTCGTACGGGTTTCCCGCGAAACACTGTCCCTATCTCGTGACAATGCCTGGTGTTTCGTGAGCCTGGTCGCCGTTTGGCATGAATGTCTTCGCGCTGTAACGATCCGCAGTCGTGCAAGTGCGGCAGCGTCACAAGCGCGCAACAAGTACGCACGGATGCTTTATGTACTCATGAACGCGATCGTGAACCACCAATGTTGTTTTATCGGTGATGAAGCCATAAAATAGAAGATTTAGATAGCCCAAGCCTACCAGCACAAATAACTTGAACACAGTCAGCGTTGCCGCCTGAACAACGATTGTTGACTCGAATTTAACAAAAAAAAAAAAAAAAAAAAAACAAACAAACAAACAAACAAACAAACTGTCGCTACAATCAACCGGAGTCACACGAAACTAACCTAGTAAAAGAGATGCCAAGTGAGCTGACACCCTTAATGCAAATCCCATCCCCTCAACCACCCCTACCACCTATACCGGCACCATTGAACCCATGACGTCTAGGGATCGTTCTCCAAACCCATTCCCTCCTCAATGCCCCCACCATGTCCGTCCCCGTGCCCAGCATCACGACCAGCACTGCGTCCAGCACCACGTCCTGCACCTCGCCCTGCACTGCGCCCTGCACCACGTCCTGCGCCACGGCCAGCACCGCGCCCAGCTCCACGCCCAGCTCTCGGCCCAGCACCACGCCCAGCACCGCGACCAGCTCCACGTCCTGCACCACGTCTTGCACCACGTTCGGCACCACGGCCAGTAACATTGCCACCACCCCTACCACTTGGCACCTCACCAAACCCAGCACCTGTCCCCACATCATAGCCATCGCCACCTCCCAAACCGCGACCAGCACCATTGGCAGCACCAGGCCATGCTGCGGCCACAGATCCACTCCATCCTCCTGCACCGACACCCGCTCCTTGCCCAGCAACAAACCCAGCACCAAGACCACTGCCTCGGCCTGCAACAAACCCACCTCCGAGCCCAGAACCATTTGAGGCAACACCTCCCGCACCCCCACCGCCGCCAAACCCGAAACCCTGGCCCGCGCCAGACCCAGGGCCATTCCATGCATCAGGACCTAATCCAACTCCAGCACCGGCGCCAAACCTGACACCAGCCCCTGGGCCACCTCCTCCACCAAGCCCCGCACCAAAGCCAACGCCAAACCCACCACCAGCCCCAACACCGTAGCCAGCACCAAGACCCGCCCCGGATCCACAGCCAAACCCACCACCAGCCGCTGGGCCAGCCCCTGCACCATTGCCCGCACCGGGCCCAGCGCCACGCCCCACTCCACCCCCATGTCCACGCCCAGCACCAGCACCAGCCCCATTCCCCTGGGCGTACCATCCAAACTTCCACCTGCACCGGCTACGGTTGTGCCCAAGCTCTTGGCACCTCCCGCACCGGTACGCGTGGGCTGCGGCCTCCACCCGGGTGTTGTTCTCTGGACGGCCTGGTCTGGTGTTTACGAGAGCAGGCGCGTCGTAGACTCCCGCTGGAGCCACTGGGGCCTCGCTTATCAGACGGTCCACGCAAGTTCCCCAGACCGTTGGTGCATATGTCATGCGGAGAGTGTGGGTCGTGTAGTAGTCTGACACGAGGATCTCTGGGCACCTCTTCTTCAGAATGCACATGGCAACAGCGTGCGCACAAAGAAACTGGTACTCTTGCCAAGTACCGCACTCACCACGAGGGACGAGGTGACGAGGTAACGAGGTAACGAGGTAACGAGGTAACGAGGTGACGAGGTAATGAGGTAACGAGGTTGACGAGGTTGACGAGGTAACGAGGTGACGAGGTTGACGAGGTAACGAGGTTGATGAGGTTGACTGGTTCTCTTGTCGGGTGACGAGGTTGACGTTGTAACTTCTCCATTCCGTCTCGTTCTCACCTCCACGAGTCTGGATAGTGCCGGCATCATTGGTTCCCCCTAAAAACCAGTAGTCCTGTGCCCTTGTGCGCTTGATCAGCATCCTGGTAACTGCGGCCTGGGTCAGGAGCTCGTCCCTTCACCACGCTGCCTCATAACGCTCCACCCACTTGTCCCTGAACCAGTCCCACAATGACGCCAGCAGCCAGGTCGGGGGCAGCATGCGGATTTTCTTCACAGCACCATTGAGGGTCTCCGCTGCATTGCTTGTGTAAATCTCGTACCGACGGGTTGGGGCAAAGAGTTGAGCCCAGTGCAGCAGTTGGATCCCCCCAATTCTGTACCTAGATCCCATCCTGTTGCGATGGAATCCTGTCTGCACGCTGATGCCTCCCTCCTCCCCCTCACCACCGTCTGCACCATCCGGCTCCAGGTCATCCTCGCCCTCGAAACCTGGCTCATCAGTAGCCACACGTTGAGCATCTCCACCAGTCTGTGTATCAGGCCAAGGAAGTGACAAAACCTGCGTGAGACCAGCATGCAAGTCATCACCTCCGTCCTCATCAAAGGCAGACGATCGCCAATCGCGTCGGCGCCTGCACGGCGCCTCATCGTTGACTCTGGTGTTGATCGTGTCCGCACTGTACAGCTGGCGCGCCCTCTGCTGGATCGTCGCCAGGTTGAACGCAGGACCGGAGCGACTGGGCCCGAGTGACACACCTGTGGGGACTCCTCTGCCCATTTCACTTGACTGCCCGACCCCATTACCCCCATCCGCGGCTATTGGATACTCTACGATTTCCCCGTTGCATGACACCGGACCCATGCCCACGTTTGTGTACCGAAACCCACCCCCCCTTCCTGTTCCACTGCCCCATCCCATATTTAACCATGGCATTCCAGCTTCAGGAGCCATTCCTCCACCCGTCCCCACTCCCCTGCCCACACCACCCACCCCTCCACCCGTCCCCACCTGCACTCCCACTCCACCAACACCTACACCACCACTTCCCACACCCCTGCCAACTCCACCACCCCCTGCACCGGTCCCCCCCTGCACTCCCCCACCCCCACCCCTCCACCTGTCCCCACCTGGACTCCCACCCCACCAACATGTACAAGCCCTGTCCCCACCTGCACTCCCACACCACCAACCCCTCCACCAATCCACACTCCCCTGCCCACACCACCAACCCCTCCACCTGTCCCCACCTGCACTCCCACACCACCAACCCCTCCACCAATCCACACTCTCCTGCCCACACCACCCTCCCCTCCACCCATCCCCACCTGCACTCCCACACCACCAACCCCTCCACCAATCCACACTCCCCTGCCCACACCACCAACCCCTCCACCTGTCCCCACCTGCACTCCCACACCACCAACCCCTCCACCAATCCACACTCCCCTGCCCACACCACCCACCCCTCCACCCGTCCCCACCTGCACTCCCACACCACCAACCCCTCCACCAATCCACACTCCCCTGCCCACACCACCCTCCCCTCCACCCGTCCCCACCTGCACTCCCACACCACCCACCCCTCCTCCATTCCCCACTCCCCTGCCCACACCACCAACCCCTCCACCTGTCCCCACCTGCACTCCCACACCACCAACCCCTCCACCAATCCACACTCCCCTGCCCACACCACCCACCCCTCCACCCGTCCCCACCTGCACTCCCACACCACCAACCCCTCCACCAATCCACACTCCCCTGCCCACACCACCCTCCCCTCCACCCGTCCCCACCTGCACTCCCACACCACCCACCCCTCCTCCATTCCCCACTCCCCTGCCCACACCACCAACCCCTCCTCCAATCCCCACATGCACTCCCACACCTTCCAACCATCCTCCAATCCCCACCTGCACTCCCACACCTTCCAACCCTCCTCCAATCCCCACCTGCACTCCCACACCTCCATCACCTCCACCTGACCCCACTCCGATTCCAACACCTCCAATCCCTCCCGCCGTCCCAAGTCCCCTGCCGACCGCCCTAAACCCTGCCGTGGATTCTTGAGTTCCAATTCCATTGTCTGCCCCTCCAAAAGTGTCGTCACCTGCGCCCCCCCCCACGCCACCCCCGTCCTCATGGTCTGAAGCCACTGGACCCCCATCTCCATCAGTGTGACCCCCAAGCCCGACATTTTCTCCGCTCAAACCCCCGCCGACGCCATCTCCTCTGGCGTGCACAAAGTGGGAACCCGCTGCCCGCGGCGACACACCCCTCGCACCACTCCCCCTGCCAATCCCTCTGCCGGCACTCGGACCAAACCTTCCGAAGCCTGTCCCGCTTCCCACCCCCAACCCAGCACCACCGAACTGGAACGCGCCAGCCCCAGGGACGCCGCGACCACTTCCTCCACCCCGGATAGCACCGCCAGAAGCATGGCCGGACGCAGTGCTCCCCTAGCCCATCTCGTCACCCCTGCTGCCCGGCCCACCTCTGAATGCCCTGCCAAACACCTGAGCGTTCGGAGCATTCATGCCTCCAGTGCCTGCGAGTCCGCCACCGTTCCTGTTGTAACTTGCGGTGCCTGCACCAGGAACGCCAAAGCCAGTTTGCGGCTGCGTGGCGCCACTTGCCCCGCCAGATGCATGCCCTTGGCGTGCATTTCTGGCCATGCGTCGTCCATCGCGGCCAGTCTCAAACACGTACGCTCTCGCCCCAGCATAGGATGAGCGCGCGTCAGGGGAGGGGCGTGCCTCAGGTGCAGGTGGCACGCTTGCAGCGGGAGGGACCTCAGGGCCAAAGAGGTAAAGCGCCATTTCTGGGAAGTCGCGTCTGCATGCTGCTACGAGGGCAATCCACTTTGTCTCGCAGCCGCATTTCACCAACCGTTTAAAGAATGATTGCGCCTTCTCCTTGAAGCGCCGCAGATTCTGCTCAAGGTGCCACGCACAGAAGTAATGTGGGATGTGGCTAGGCATCACCTCGAGCTGGCGGAAAGACTCCTTCCAATCCCCGTATTTCTCCTTGATGATGAATTCTCGCAGTCGCCGTGCCTGCCAATAGTTGATTTCCCAGCCCCCTAATTCCTCCATGAGCCGAAGCATCACTGGTAACTTGTTCGCTATCCCCGCTGCATATTCCTGCCGCCACTCCATCTTACACATATGAGCCTCAGGCGGGACAGGGGACGTAATGCGCCAGTATCCCGTCTCCCGATACACCGCGTATGAGCAGCACCATAGGCATGGTGGAATCGTTCCGTCTGCTGTCGCTTTACAGCCTACTACAACCGCCCGCCGCTTCGTCATAAGTACATGATAACCAAAACGGTGGTGGAGAGCATATTCCTGCAGGGACGCGAAACACTTATCACATGTTGAGTAGAGGTGACCTAGTTCAAGTGGTGCGTTGTCGTTGGGCGTTTGTAGACGAGGATCAAAATCGCCCACAGAGTGCATTGCGCGGAGGGCTTGCAGCCCGGGGTTAGACGCCATGGCCCTAACTCATGGCCCTAATCCCTTACGCGTGATGCTGTGAAGGAGACAGTGTGGAAAAAACCGATCAGAGATGGTCGCAAAGGATGTACCTAAAGCCCTCTGCACGATTCATGCACGGGTGCTAAACCGTCGTGAAAATCGTGAAGGGGTACTGAGGTTGCTCGATTTGTACTGTATGGCTGGTCCTGGAAAGGCAACACTGAGAAGCGAGCGAAAGAGCGCCACCTACTTAATCAGGTGAGCAACTTGTCCATGTACGCACAAGTTGCTGCCACCAACAGACATGCGGAATCATTGCTTGCATGTCGCGCCAAAAACAACCACACACCAACCCACGAGAATTGACAAACCCTAAAGCTGTTGCAACCCCTGCGACAGGGTGACCCCTTCGTGTTTGCAGTTGTAGAAAAAGGTTGGGTCGATCGGATTTAGGGAATTCAAAATTGTGCTGACGTGTTGCACGACTGGTCGACAGGATTGACAGGATTTCGAAAAACGTCGGGTCGCCTAATTCTTCCGAATTGCACATGCTACCACTCGATATGAATTTGTCTCTCTTGCACAATGAGAATTGCATGTCGCAACGATGCGACAAATTTGCACATGCTTGCGACGCCTACAGTATCGAAATTGAAATGACAGACGGGGGGGGAAAAAAAAAATCACAAGTCAACACTTCAACTTTCCAAAACAATACTAAGTATGTTTCAGATTTCTTGTGGACCCAACTAGAAAGGGGGGGGGGGGGGGGGGGGGGGGGGGGGGGGGGGGGGTCAGTATTTTGCATACGGGCTTTAATGTTTCATCTTAGAGATCAGACTAAAAAAAAAAAAAACCAAATCTGAGCGTAAGACGATTTTTTTTTTTTTTTTTTTTTTTTTTACCCATACTGTCAGACAGGCCAAAATCCTAGCGAGAGCCCTAGGTGTGACGTAACCACAAAGTCGGATATACTGTAATATTATACCATACGTGCATCCAATAATACCATTCTCTGCAGCACAATGGGTTACTACCAGGGCCCAAAATTGGTTTAGGCCTACCCTTACAAATCAGGGTTCCAATCTCACAAAGTGAAAACAGCGGAATGAGTTAGATTGACTGTGTTGGGGTACAAATGCCTAACCCTAACTGTTTGTACCCCATATAGCATGTCCCACTAGAGGCTATAACATTTGACACACCCCCATAGCCTAAGTGGGGAATGCCAAGCAACAAAACACAACCTAAAGACCAGTCACAAGCAAGAGAGCAAACAGAGCTCAGGGTGGATCACAACGTCACCACCAGTCTGAGCACAAACAAGAGGCCACAAGGCCAGTTCAAGAGAGTACAAGCTAATATATATAGTACAAACAAACAAGGGGCAAGAACTCACTACTGCAGTCTACTAGACCCAGTCTCAACGAGGCCTAACTGCAGACAAAACCGGCGGTGGTCACAAGGCTGAAGGGCCTTGGTGAAGATGTCTGCAGTGTTGGCCTCGGAGGCCACGAAGTCCAGACGCGCCTGACCGCGTCTCTGCAACTCTCGAAGGAGGAAGTACCTGACGTCGATGTGCTTCACTCTGCTCTCCAGTCGAGGCTCACGACACAGGAGAATCATCGCCTTGTTGTCAGCAAACAAGGTCGGTGCAGAGCTCGGCCGCTCACCAAGGTCAGTGAGCAAGAAGGTCAACCAGCGTAGCTCCTGTGCAGCAAGGGGTCCAGTGTAGATCTCGGCCTCTGCGGTAGAAGTCGCAACAGAGGAGGACCGAGTAGACCTCCACGAAACAGCTCCAGAGCCCAGACTGAAACAGTAACCCTGCGTAGACCTCTGAGTCTCAACGTCGTCGGCGTACGAGGAGTCGCAGTGACCGGTGAGTACAACTGGCTGTGTCCCTCCAAGTACAAGCCCCATGTCTGATGTCGTGGCAAGGTACTTCGCCACCCTCTTAGCCGCCGTCCAGTGAACAGGACGGTGTCTCCCAGTCGCAACAAAGCGAGAAAGGATGCTAAGAGGGAAGGCGAGGTCCGGGCGAGTGCACGTCATCAGGTACATGAGGCAGCCCACCAGCTCTGCGTAGGGACCACTGGGCTCGAACGGCTCGTCAGGAAAAGGCCCAGTGAGTCTGTGGTCTACAGCAAGAGGGGTGGGTGTAGGAGAGGAGTGCTGAAGCCCGAACCGCTGAAGGACCTGCTGCACCATGTGTGACTGAGTCAGAGTGATGGTGCGAGCGGCTCTGTCCCTGGAGATCTGCAGGCCAAGGTAGCGGCGCAGTTCCCCAAGGTCAGTGCAGGTGTGTCTCTTCTGCAGTTCGGACTTCACCTCCGCCAGTGCAACTGTGTCGGCTGTGGCAAAAACCAAGTCGTCAACGTAGACCAGAACGAAGAAAGGTGTGCGCCCACGACGAACAAACAGCGACGGGTCGGCGGAAGACGGCTCAAACCCGAGGTCGGACAGAGTAGAGCGGAGAGTGTCGTGCCACTCACGGGGTGCCTGACGGAGACCGTAGACCGGTCGTCTGAGGCTCCACTGGGTCCCAGGCGGGAAGGTGCCAGTGAAGCCCGGAGGACGACGCAGCCAGATCTCCTCGTGTAGGCTGCCCTGCAGGAAGGCGGTGGAGAAGTCGAGGGAGTGTAGCTCGTAGTCCCTCTGTGCCGCTACGTGAAGTAACACCCGAAGAGTGGTCATCTTCGGGGTGGGCGCGAAGGTCTGAAAGAAGTCAACCCCCTCGCGCTGACTGAACCCTCTAGCCACGTAGCGTGCCTTGAAGACTGGGGGAGATCCCGGCGGCCGCTTCACCTTGAAGATCCACATGCCGTCAACTATGTTCGCCCCTGGGGGGGGAACCTCGTCAACGTAAGTGCCTGTGGATCTATAGGAGGCCATCTCTGCGTCCATGGCAGCTCTCCACTGAGAGGCCCAAGGCCCTGACACTGCCTCAGCGTAAGTGCGAGGAGTAGGTATGTCAGGAGCGTCGGGGTCTCCCTCAGGAGCGAGCAGCATGGCACAGAGATGAGGCGAAGCAGCTGCCAGGAACTCTAGCTCAAACTGTCTGTCCTCTAGGACGTCACAGCCAAGGGCAGACTCACCCCCGGCGGACAGAGGACGGACAGGAGGAGCGGCCACAACACGAGTGGCGTAGTCAAGGCGACGCGTAGCAGTAAAGTCAGTGACAGCGGCAGTGAGGACCGCGACGGAGGAAGGAGAGGCACGAGGGTCGGTAACAAGAGAGGCGAGAACACGAGAGAGAGTGGGGCGGTACGTGCGGTAGTAGTCAGTGACCGGAGTGGACAGGGAGGCAGTGAGAGACGACTCAGGAGGGCGAGGAAGGACAGACGGAGGAGAACGAGGAGGACTAGGACGGAACAACACAGTACGGAGGTCAGTGACAGGTGACGAAGGACGAGCACGAGGAGGACGAGAGGCCCAAGTGTGGGCGAGAGGAGAGGGAGACGGAGGAGACTGAGGACGAGGGAACACAGCCGGAGCAGAGTCCAGAGGAGGAAACGTAGGACCGAACACAGGAGGAGAGGAGGGGAGACCAAGGGCCCGAAGGCCAGAAACAGGGGCCGGAGGCTGCTCCGGCTGCTGCTGGTCAGGCGGTGGCAGCTGCTGAGAAGCCGGCTGCTGCTGCTGCTGGAACCCCTCACCACCAGTGAAAACTCCACCGTCGAGAGGAGGGCCGTCAGGTCCCGAGCCACCCCCACCACCACTCCCACCACCTGCTCCACCGCCACCGCCACTACCCGCACCACCTCCAGTACCTCCGCCGCCCTTCCCGCCCTTCTTACCGGCCTTGCCACGTTTCTGTCCGCCAGAGACAGAAACATCTGCCGTCTCCTCAGAGGCAGAAGACGCGGGGGTGGCAAGGGAGGCAGTGAAGGTGGGAAGCTGTGGTACCGCACACCCCTCAAAAAGACGAGGAGGAGGCGCGGAAGAGGCAGAGGCAACAGCGAGGAGGTTACTCTCGATCTTCGAGAGAGCAGTCTCAAGAAGATCGATGGTAAGCTCAGTGGGGTGCTTCAGAAGAAGCGCGTCGCGGGCTGTGGCTAGGCGGTCAGGGAGGCGAGTGACTAGCCAGTGAATAGTGAGCCACATAGGGGGCGGGGCAAGGGCAAGCTGGTCCTCAGTGCAAGCAGCGCGAAAGCGAGCGTCAAGGGAGCGAAGGTGGGTAACGAGGTCAGAGACAGTCTCAAAGGAGGCGAGGTCAGGGTAGATAAAGGGGACGAGGAGGCGACTGAGTGAAGCAGAGGAGGGAGTGGAGTAGCGATCAACAATAGCCTTATACAGATCTGCAGCAGACTCGACCTGAGTGAAGTGGACTGCCTCTGTCGGCGGAAGAAGGTCGGTCAGGGCGAGGCAGGCAGCGGCGTCACGAGACTCCCACACGTCGCGAGCGAGGAACTGGCGCCGGTACTCGGCCTCCTGCTCAGGAGTAGGCGGTGGGGTAGTGGGCAGCAGGCTAGGCTGCGGAGGAGCGGTCTGAGTACCGGACG